CAAATTCCTGGGTGTGTAGTTAACAAGTAGGCTGGCTTGGTTGTTCAACAGCAAGACACTGGTGAAGTGGGCACAGCAGCGCCTGCATTTTCTCCATCGCACGAGAAAAGCACATCTTTCTTCCCCTGTCTTTCCCACTTTCTACAGAGGGACGATCGAGATTATCCTATCATACAGCATCACAGTCTGGTTTAGAAGCATCACTGCTTCAGACAAGAGGCGAGGATGGCTGAAAAGATTATTGACAGTCCCCTCCCTTCCATCCAGGACATAGCACATAAGCGTTGCTTGAGCAGGGTCCGTAAGATTGTCTGGGACACTACACACCCTCTTCACGACCTGTTACCTTCTGGTGGAGACTCCGTGGTATCCGAAGCAGAAGATCCAGATTCAGTCACAGTTTTGTTCCATACAGTATTAACCTTGTGAACTCTCAAGCTTCTTCTTTCCGCTATGTATTCAAGATGAACAGTGATTTTTATATGTTACTTATATGTAAGGGTGTAGGTCTATACATATGTTGTATATAGGATGTTTAAATGTGTGTTATGTATGTGTACACTTTGAGAGCAAGCAATTAAATTTCATTTTTAATGTGTGCCGTTGTGCCCACAGTAAAAAAATGACAATAAAGATTATCTATATATCTAAATACTGCTTTAGAGTCTTTGTATTCTTCCTTCTGGAAGGAATATTGTGTATTTTCTTCTATAAGACAACCAAAACACAGCCATCATTAAAATGTTAACAGTAAACTTTATTGATTTTCTTTTACTACTGTTAAAGAATATCCTATTATTTTCCATATTTGCTTGATAATCATATGCAGATTAGTCAGATGTATATATTTATCACCAATCAAAGCTACCAAATTAGTAAACCTCTATCAGCACTACTGCAAATCTTGAAGTTCTTTACAGTTTAATAGTGACTGATTTAATTCTTTTAATTTATAATCCACAAAATGACTTGCACAGTTTTGGTTCTTAATAATTTCACGTTTCTCAATCTTGGTAACATTAAGATGTGTGGACTTCAACTCTGAGAGCTGAAGTCCACACACATTTTTAAACACTCATTTAAAACATTCCAAGACTATTTCTGAACTGTAAAACAAAACTCTCCTTTGTATTTTGCCTATATACTAACTTCACAAATACCAAGCGAAAAAATTGTTCCAAGAATCAGCAAAAAATGGCTGTGCCTTCTTTTCATCACACTGTTATGACTCTCCTTGCTAGAACAAAAACCACTTTTTTCCTACCTAAAGGCATTGTATTTTATTTATAATTTATTTTTTTAAGGCTGGCCAACCCACAATAATTCTAGTATAACCATCACATCTGAAATATTAAGTCAGCTCTGATAAATTGAATGCCATCAAATTAAGCTGCTTTTCAACTTGTTCCCTTAAGAGTATGGTATTCAAGAGAGTGAATTGAAGAAAAGTGCATAGTTTTTATGCTAGAGCTAGAGAAACTCCAATATTCTTGTACTGGAAAACTAGAGAGATAAAGATGTAGCCTGAATTATTTTGACAGAGAACTGTATTGCATATAAATCTACTGGCAGCTGACTTTGCAATGTAGTCCTAACATAATGAACTGGGCTGCAGATTTCTCTCCATGGTTTCTAAAAGAGCCACAGTTAGAAACAAGCATTGGGAATCTTCTTAATCGCAGTGCATAAAACACAAACGGCTGTTCCCATAATGCACTTAAGAGATCTTGGCAAATGCCATGAAGTCACCGATTCAGAGCAGGGAGGGTACTACTTTGAGGGTAGAAAGGAAACAAAGGGAGAGTGAATCGTGGGATGATCATGCAACTTCTAAGGCACAGCCAAGACTGTGAGCAAGGAGACTGTATTGAAATCTGTCCAGGAAGAAAGAGAATGGCCATTAAGCAAAGCAGCAGCATCATATAGCAGGCAAATGAGAAGACCAAGCATGACCTCAAAGGCTGTAGAGTTCGGCCACAGAAGATCTCTAGTCTGTCTTAACTGAGCTTCAGTCAGACAATAGCAAGCCATGGATATTTGTAATGGGCAGCTCCTCATTGAATTAAGACAAAAGTTTTGGAAGAAAGCAGCTATGACTGTGTCCCCCCCCCCATACCAATATTTCTCAACCATGGCAACTTTAAGATGTGTGGGGAATTCTGAAGTGGAAGTCCACACATCTTAACGTTGCCAAGGTTGAGGAACACAGCTCTAGAAAGTGGTATTCAGTCTTCAGGGAATATCTTCTAATCTATACCAATGGTTGAACTGTTTCTACAATCTGCCCACACTGCAAAAGCCTCTGTATTGTACAAGGGATTCTGGGAAATCATCACATACTGTGAATATGGGGCAACTGAGACAACCCAGAACCAGTTTGGTCTAGTGATGAATCCAAGAGGTGAGATCTGTAGTCCCACCTTAGGCATGAAAGATGAGTGAGTGACTTTGAATCAGTCACACTCACTTTTTCTTCTCAGCTCAACCCATCTCACAGGGGAAAATAGGAGAAAAGAGTATTAGGTATGTTCACGGCCTCAAGTTAATTATAAAAATAATAAAGACATGATAATATAATAATGTATTTATTGCTTTCTAATGACCTCCTAGTACAGGGGTCTTCAAACCTGGCCCTTTTATGACTTGTGGACTTCAACTCCCAGAATTCCTCAGCCAGGCACGGAATTCTGGGAGTTGAAGTCCACAAGTCATAAAAGGGCCAAGTTTGAAGAGCCCTGAAACCATGTAACAGAAAAGCTCGTTTATCACTTTCTATCTTTTGCTCAAAAGTCTCCCAGTAAACCATTGGAAATCTCAGGATTTCCCAGAATGGGAATAAATGTTAAGACGCTTATTAAATGCCAATCCAATAAATACTGCTGCCATGCAATTTGTTTGCAGAACTAAGCTGTAAAGAAGACATCTGTTAAGATGCTTTAACCAACTTCTTTAGAGGATGTTGGAGATGGGTTTATGTTAGATTCTTGAATGTTACAAATCCCAGAATGTACAACAGGTGTGAATCCAACATGAAAACAACAACAGACTCCAATGTGGGGAACAAAGGCCTTTTTTCTGTCTGGGAGGGGATTTAATTGTTTATATTGCATTCTAGAAACTGGAGCATACATCAAGCTTTATTCTCCCTGCATAAAGATCTAGCTTTGTCCATTTTCCCTGAGAAATAACGTCAACGCTGCTTTATCAGATTCCCTCACAGATGGCAAAACATTGGATTTCTCTATGATGGGGACATAAGTGAGGGCAATTCCCACATCCTGGTTTTTGCCTGCTCTGGTCACAAGAAACATATTATATTACGGCCTGTGTTAGAAACAAGGCAGGAAGAAAACAGTTGATTTCAGCTGGTATCATTGAAATAGGGAAGAGTTGTTTTTTTTAAAAAAATAAAACCTCCCAGAGGCTTTCCGTTGCAGCAAGATCCAGCAGTAGTTCCCAACCCAGAGAACATTAAAATGACAGTTTCCTGATTTCTCCTTCCCTTTTTTTTCCAGGCCAGCAAAGTAGCTGAGACACACCTTTGATACATGAGGCAAAACAGGCTGAACCCAAAATAAAGCTAAAGTGCAATTCACAACAGACACCCCCCCCCTCCTGCTCACCTCTTCAAAAATAAGCCCTGGCAGATGAGACAAACTTTGTTTTCCTCAAAAGAACGAGTTACTCAAATACAGATTTGTCTTATTAAAATGATCTAGCAGGAAGCAGAGACAATTCCCATATAGGGGGATTACTAGGCCTGCTATATCCATACAACTATACAGGGAACAACTGTATCTCCCACATTTAAGAGTCTTTGTGCAAGAATATTTCAAGGTTTATTTACAGATTATACCAATAACCCATGAAAGGATCTCTTCCCTTTTCTTAAACACTTAACACTTCTAGTTGTAGCTGGGTCACCCTAATTCAGCAACCAGTGGCCGGTGTTTCATTTTGCACGGCCACAACAATGGGCACTTTGGAGACTACCGCCAGATACAACTAGACAGCTTGCACGTTGAGAATCATCACTCAATCAATCAATCAGAATAGAGCAGGAAGGGACCTTGGAGGTCTTCTAGTCCAACCCCCTTGCTCAAGCAGGAAACCCTATACTATTTCAGACCAAGAGGAGGCCTGTTCCTTTAACAATAATGCAGAGGCAGAATTTTTTCCAGGTGTTTTTTTTTTTAAGGAACCCTTTCGCCCTGAAGCAGAAAAGCTACAAAAGGACAGTCCTGTGCAAGGCGGGCTCCCACCTTAAGGGGGTCTCCAGCACCTCGCAGGCTGGGGGGAGGGGGCGGGCGGGCGAAGAACCGAGCCCCTGAGCATGTGCAGAGGGCTTCCGAGAAGGAGAGTCAGCGCAGAGAAAGGGATGGCGGCGCCCCGGAGCCTTTCTCCCGGCCAGCAAGGCTGCGATTTTCTCTACCAGGGACGTCTTCGGGTTGCCTTCGCCCCCTACCCCCTCCTCCCCCCGGCTGCTGCTTTCCCTTGGCCCCTGACGCCTCTCCACTCACCGAGCCCACTGATCTCGTGGCGGAGGCTAACGCGGGTCCTCTCCTCCACTATGGCCCGCAGCATCTGCTGAAGGGAGCGGTCCAGCTCCCCGCTGCCGCCGTCCTGCTGCCCGGGAGCCGCGAAGGAGGCCATGCCAGCAGCGCCCGCCCAGCGCCGGGCATCTCAAGCGCTCGGGCCGGACTGCCCCTCCCCTGCCCCAGCGTGGGGACGAGGCAAGAGAGCTACTGCGGGGGCATGGCCGCTGACCAGCGGCCTCGCGGAAATGCCCCCCACCCTCCTCCTGGGGAGGCTTCCCCGCCGGCCGGTGCCTCTTCCGCCTCCGCAACAGCAGCAGCGGGTCTGCAGCTGGTGGCGCTGGCCTTTTAGAACGCCTCCTGCCACCCGCTAGCTCGGCGCGTCGCAGCCAATGGGAGGCGGCGAAGAGGGGAGGGCGTGGCCGAGCCCGGGCGGGACCCCTGACGTCACCCACTCCCGGACCGCCAAGCTCTTTGCTGCTGCCGCTGCTGCTATTGCAGCCGAGGCGGAGAAGCCGCGGCGTCTGGCCTCTTTTCTGCAGCCGGCAGGCGGGATTCACCACCGCGCCCAGCCCGCCGGCTCCCTGGAACCAGCACTTGGCCCCCTCGCTGATGTCGGGAAAGGTAAGGAAGGGAATAGGGACAGGGGGAATCGAAGTCGCGCAACCCTCTTTGAACGTCATTGCAGTGCCTAAATTATTATGTGACGGTCCCATTTATGTCTTCCAGGGACAAGCAGAAGTGCCTCGAACTGGTTGCATTGCGGAGTTGATTCCGGCCCCAAAGCCTAAAAAGCGAAGTACCGATATCGTCCAAAGGTTTAGCAGAGAGATAAGACACTTCGGCGGATAAAATAAGGCTTTGTGGGTATTGCACTTAAAAACAGAAGCCATTGCGTGATCCAAAGCAAACGCCTTGCTTTGATCACGGCGAAGAAATTGCATCATGCAAAACCCGTGATTGCACAGTAGGCTTCGATCACGATATTGCGAGATTTCCATGAGGACGGCTCTGTGCATCCATATGATAAATGGATGATAAATGAGATATCACTCCCATGGGCCATCTTTGGCTCAGGCATCCTCCACAGAGGCCTAGCTGGAAGCAGGCTTTCTCGGGGTTGCAGAACATCAATTTCATGTACCTTCAAAATCTGGGTTTGCATGACACGGGTCTTCAAACTTGTCCCTTTTATGATTTGTGGACTTCAACTCCCAGAAATCCTAAGCCAGGCCAATTGGGAGTGGCAATTCCTCCACTAAGTGAAGCAGTTACTAAATGGTAAACTATGTGTTCAAGACTATTTTCTGGATGGAAAGTGACAAGATTACTCCATTACTGTAAGCCAGTGTTTCCCAAACTTGACAATTTTAAGGCATGTGGACTTCAACTCCCAGAATTCCACAGCCAGCGTTGAAGTCCACATGCCTTAAAATTGTCAAGTTTGGGAAACACTGCTGTAAGCAATCTCTCCTTTGCCTGACACTTTTCTACTGTGGGCACAAAATCATTGATTTTAATGTGTAGAAGAGCCAACAACTTACTCTCCTGCTATCCCTTTCTCTCCAATCTCTCAGCTCTGTAAAGGGGGAAATAAAGGAAAGACAGGCACAGAACAAGATATACTGACAGTGGTGGCAATCACATGACTAAGACACTGCAAAGGTCATAAATGGGCTATAATTTTTCACCACCAGAGTAATTTTAAATGGTCACTGAATGAGTGGTTGGTTAAGTGAGGACTGCTTATGGCAGGGGTGTCAAGCTGCTGGCCCGTGGGCCGGTTTCATTATACTGAAGCCATGCCCACCCCATTGCCGGCAAGGCAAAAAGAATTGTGATATGTTGTGACACATGACGTGGCAAGTTTGACACCCGTGGCGTATGGTAAGATATTCTATTAGAAAATATAGAGAAGTGTAAAATGGTAACTTTAAGTCAATTACTTTGTAATGATTATTTTAAGCAATTTCTAACACCTTCAGACAGAATTTTTTTGACTAATATATAAAGCAGCAATCTAATCAATTCAAGCATGCTTTGATAGGTCAGTATGGACCATCTGCTTTAACTGCCTCAGAGAAACCTAAGGAGGTGTTATTTTTACAGAGTCTGCTTTGGACGTCAATTTGATTTCTTAGCTAGATCAGAAACATTAGCACATCTTTAAAGTTGAAATTGTATGATTTATGAAATAATCAATAATGGAACATGAATTAATGCAAGTTTTTTTTTAAAAAATGTTAAGCTTGTTTCTTTGGATTTGAGGTTGAAATTAATTGATGATTTTTTTTATTCCCAGTTTATTTTCTTGGTGATATAAGATATTTTAGGGTATATTAATCAAATGGTTTTGTTCTTTATTTCTTTTTGGACTAATACTACATATACAAATATGGAAAATATCTAAGTGACTGAGATTGAGTTTGGAAAAGTACTGCACTTCAGATGTCAAGGAAAACTGATTGTGGTTTTATTAAAAGCCAGTAAGACATCTATTAACATGAACACAGCCCCCTCTCCCACTGACAAGAATTAACACCGGCTCCCCCTAGTAATTAAGGACTCTACCTTAATTACAAGCAGAGCCCTTGAATACTTAAAACTGTCATATTTTGCTGCCTAAGATAGCAACATAGACCCCAAACCTGGTCAGATTATTCTGATATTTAAATCAAAATATCTCTCCCACCTCATTTTTCCTTTCATTAATAAATTAATTTAGTTAGTTTGGGGTTCTTTATTCCTAATGTTTTCTTCATTTTAACGTATTTAGCTGTTTTGTGATTTTTTTTCTTGTAATTTGTAAATATAATTTAAAAGACATTTAAAAATACATATTAGTTTTGCTGATTTCTCCTAGAATTGATATCCTCCAGAAGTCTTTGACTCTAACTCTCTAATTCCATCCAGGCTTCCGAAGGAACTGAAGCTGAACATCTCTGAAAAGTGCCAGCTTGGAGAAGTCGAGAACGCAAGAAATTTTCACCATCTTTACCTCAGTCAATTAAAAATGCCTGAACTGGCTGGGTCTCTTATGCTCCTGTCCCTGAAGGGGGATTGTCCATTTAGCCAGCCATTAAGAGACTTCCAGAAACATTAAGGCTCCCTTTCAGTCAGTCCCCAGCCACTCATTCATAGCGATGAACTGGTGGTGCAACTCCCAAAATGGAGGATTTCAGCACGGTCCCACTTAAGTCTGGTGAATGTTTTTCCTACATGTGAGAGGGGAACTCTTAGCCTGATGTTCCTGTGGTCTTGCTCATTACATAGGAAGGACAGAGGACAGATCAGTCCTTTACAGTAAACGGCTTCTAGAACAGGGGTGTCAAACTCAATTTCATTGAGGGCCGCATCAGCATTGCGGGGGGGCGGGTGTGTGTGGCCAGGGTGGGTGTGGCCTACTGGTTGGGTGTGGATGGAGTGGGTGTGGCCTATTGGGTGGGCATGGCCAGCTACATCGTTCAATTCAAGGGTGCCTGTGGGGGCCTGGGCAGGAGTGGGACAGATCTGAGGGTCTCTGGCAGAAGGGGCTGGGACCAGGGCAAGTGCCAAGGCATGGTCCACGGGAGGAGCCTCACTGCCTGCTGAAACTCCTCCGCCGGAGCCCATCAAGCCGGATATGTGAAGTAGGTGAGGGCCATTTGCTGGCCACTTCTAGGCGATGGTGCATTTCTTAATTCCTCACAAAGGGTGACACCTCTCCAGCATGCAACCAGGGGGCAGGGCCGACGCAGCAGGGGCTGGTTCCTCGCTGTTTCCAGATGGCCTTGTAGAGCGAGGACTGAATGCGTTTCAGCATAGATGGCCACCACAAAATTGTACATTGGCTCCCAGCTGGCCTGGGCCAGGGCTAAGGCAGTGGGGGCCGTTCCCTCCCTGTTTCCAGGATGGCTTCACGGGCCACATGAAACCACTTTGCGGGCTGCATCCGGCCCCCGGGCCTTGTGTTTGACATGTCTGTCCTAGAAGCTGTTGAAAGAGTCTTCCTAAAATGAAGCTTTGGTACGGCAGTTCCTACCACACAGGAGAGATCTTGCTGGAGTAATAGAATGTGAAAGGCCTGAGATAGCAATAGCACTTGGACCAGGGGTTCCCAACCGGGGGTGCGAGACAATATTCCAGGGGTGCAAAAACTTGGGTTTTCAAAATTATATATGCATAATTCGTTGCCATTATTTCGAACTTTTGTAAGGGGTGCGAGAATATATCAGAAGCATTCTACGGGTGTGGGTTATAGAAAAGGTTGGGAGCCGCTGACTTAGACTAATATATTGCTTTACAGCCCTCTCCAAGCGATTTACAGAGCCAGCATGTTGCCCCCAAAAAATCTGGGTCCTCATTTTACCAACCTCGGAAGGATGGAAGGCTGAGTCAACCTTGAGTCAGTGAGAATCGAACTGCTGACAGTTGGCAATCAGCAGAATTAGCCTGTAGTACTGCATTCTAACCACTGCACCACCACAGCTCTTGATATTCCATTGTAGAGATTTCAATTAGATAACATAGATATGACATTAGTTAATGCTCAAAAGTGGCTTCAGGAACACATTCTCAAAAATGTAAAGCCGGAACAAGTAATTGTTTGAAGCATGTGCGTTTCCAAGGCATGTTGACAACTGTCCTCAAGTTGTCAACTTAGCCAATTAGGAAAGACATTTCTGGGTCCAGCATTTGCAATTATATTCCAAGCTTTGGGGTGAAAAGACTGCAAACATCTTTGATTATCTTAAGAGGTGCAGAGATGGACAAGCACAGCCACTGGTCCATGTGGCCAGGAACTATGGGTCAAATGATCTCTTGGGATTTCTGGGAAATTAAAGTGAGACAGTACCTATATATCCATTTTCTTGACCCCTTTGGAGGAAAACAGGACACAAAAATTAGCTAAATTGTGCCATCTATAATTGAATTTACAACTGGTCAAATCCCACTGCAACTGGTGGATTTTAGCTAGGACATTTCATTTTTAATGCCAGATTTCTGATCAGCTATCGTGTCCTGTCTCCTAAACCAGGGGTCCTCAACCTATGGGCTGCAGCCTGTTACCAGGCCGCAGGCTCTTGGCAAGCGAGCCACAGAAATGGCTGGCCAGGACGTGCACACGATGCGCATTCCCCCCATTCGCGCTAGCATCAATGGCCCTGTTTGCACATGCATGTGGGCATAAACAGGAACACTAGCATGGGGGTGTGCACTCCCCATTTGTGCATGCGTGAACAGACCGCTCACGTGTGTGTGTAGCCCATTTGCACATGCGTGAACGAGTGCTAGCCAACGTGCACAGCTGTTCACGCATGGTGCCAGCGCATACCGCTTGTGCAAACACGGCCGCTAGTACTGTGCTAGTGAACATGGCCCCATTTGTGTGCATGCATGCGCGTGCGCACGGTAATTTAGAAGATGCTCTCCAGGCCACAAAAGGTTGGAGAACTCTCCTAAATCAATGCTTCTTAACCTCAGCCATTTTAAAGTTGGTGGACTTCAACTCCCAGAATTCTATGCTGGCTGGAAAATTCTGAGAATTGAAGTCTACTTGCCTTAAAGTGGCAGAGGTTAAAAAATACTGTCCTTGACCATTCTCCTCTAGCCAATCCTCCAGAGCTGATCATATTCTACACATTATGCCCAATATGTGCCTGTCCCAATAGGGTTGGTGATCTCTGGGAAACAGAAAATTTTGGAGATGTCTACAATATTTGTAATGCCAAAAAAACTCTCTTTTAGTCTATTTAAAGGAATATTGATTTTTTTGTGTGTGTGGAATGTTTTAAATAGTTGTTTTTTATGGTTGTTCTTTATGCTGCCAAGAGTCACATTTGTTAAATAGGCAGCTACGTAAATGTGAAGCACAAATAAAGTTTAGCACTGGTTCATTTTTCAATTACTTTACATTTACTTACAGCTACTGGACCAGATATTAAGTCGATCAGCAAAAAACTAGGGATTTTATACCTCTTTGCTGTCCTCTAATGGTCATCTGATTTTTGAAGTCCAGGTGTGGTGGGCCTACAATTATCCTGACTTTCCCATTCCTGGCAGCTTGCAACAGAATTAACTGAAATAAATGTACTAAACCAGTTCTCTCCAAAGTGGCCAGAAATTAAAGTGGAGTATTTGCTCTGATCTTAAAGACCTGTAGTTTTCTCAAGAGGTTGGGTTTATATTTTAAAAAATTACTCAGGATTTACTTAAAGCAGGAGTCTTCAAACTTGGCCCTTTTATGACTTGTGAACTTCAGCTTCCAGAATTCCTGGCTGAGGAATTCTGGGAGTTGAAATCTACAAGTCATAAAAGGGCCACATTTGAAGACCCCTGACTTAAAACAGTGTAGTCAATGAAGCCCCATTTTCTTGATTTGGAATGTACAGTGACCCATGACTAACAATATGGGATTTCATCCCAGAGCATTTTAATCTAAAATACAGGTAGTCTTCGACTTAAGAATCACAATGGGGGCCAAAATTCCCATTGCTAAGCAAGATGGTTGCTAAGTGATTTTCCCACATTTTATTACCATTTTGCCACAGTTGGTAAGTGAATTACTGCAGTTGTTAAGTTAGTAATACAGTTATTAAATGAATCTGACTTCCCTATTGACTTTGCTTTTCAGAAGGTCGCAAAAAGTGATCACATGACCCTGGGAGACTGCAATGGTCATAAATACATCCAAATTTTGATCACGTGACCATAAGGTTCCGGCAATGATCATAAGTATAAAAAACGGTCAGTCACTTTTTTCAGTGCCCTTGTAATTTTGAATAGTCACTAAACAAAGTTGATATAAGTTGAGGGCTATCTGTGTAGTGTCTTGCTCAGTCTCCATATGAACTGAGGAGTTGGTTGATAGATTAATAATATGTCCCACCTCCCTTCTCATCCTGCTCCTTCCCTTCCCATCTTTTAGTGTTGAATATTTCGGTTTTTATAGTATTGTATTATTTATAGTGTTGCAAGAAAAGTCTTCATCATGGTTTAGTCCAAGCCGGGGATAAACAACATGGCAACTGCTTTAGAAAGAAGGTTGCAGTTTATTGAAGAGGAGAGCCAGACAGGAAGATGGCTCTGGAAGGAAAGAGGAAAAAAAGGGCTGAGCACATGTAGGGAGTGGGTTTTTATACCCTCTGGAGCCTTTTGTTTGGAGTTGTTTCCTGTTCCTGTTTTGAGGCTTTGTATTTCCTGTGTCATGTATTTTGACCTGTGTCCCTTTGGCATCTGTGAGCTAATCCTGTTATGCCCTTAACTTTGAATGGGTTATGTAGATTTTAGGTGTCTTTGTTTTCCTAAGCTTCTAGCTCCAACCTTCCTGATGGTTTACATCTGCATTTCTATTGAGCTGGTTTCTGCTTGGGGGAGGGAGACATAAAAATTGGGTATGCTTTTCTGTCTCTTTAAGATCCTTTGAGGAAATATATTTTTCTGCCTTTTTAATATTTCCTCCTCTGGGGGGCTGACTTCCCACAATAGGTTTTCTGTAGTCTTATCTTTACTATTGTAAGCCACTTGGAGAGATGAGCAGCTATAGAAATGGGATAAACATACAGACAAGTAAATATAAAAACACCCAAAGAATAGATAGATACAGCAGTGCAGATAGTTAACCAACTAAAGCCAAGAAACGGGGTCCTTAACACATTCAGGCCTGGGTATATAACCAAGTTTTTTAAGCCTTACAAAGGACCAGCAAGATTGGAGCCATTCTAATCTCCAAGGGGGATATTTCACACAGCCACTGCAGAAAAGGCCCATCTTCTGGTCCCCACCAGCCAACGCTCTGGCTGATGGGATTTGCAGCATCTCTGATCCAATGAATCAAACTGGACTGGTAGAGACTCTTGGAAAAATATGGTCTCTCGGGTAACCCTACCCCGAGCCATGTAGGGATTGAAAGGTGACAACTAGCACCTTGAATTGTACCTGGAAACACACCAGCAACCAGTGTGGCTTAGTGGTGTTATATGTGCCATGTATCTGGCACCATTTACTATCTGTGCAGCTGCATTCAGCACCAATTGAACTTTCTGAATGCTCTTCAAGGGCAGCCCCATGTAGAAGATGTTATAGAAATCTAAGCGAGAGGTTACAAGGCCATGAGTGATGGCGAGCAGGTACTCCTGGTCTAGGAATGGGTGCAAAAGCTCTCCTAGCCACAACTTTACCCTGCTCTTCAAGGAGGGGTTGAGATGGGTGGGGAAAATGGCTGGCTCAGGAATTCTGGGAGTTGAAGTCCACAAGTCATATAGGGACCATAATTCCCCACTTCTGGTTCTAGGAGGACCCCAGATTATGGATTATGGACCAGGTCTGTCTGGGGCAATGCCATTGCACCCAGAGTTAGACATGGAAGATCCTTGTCTACAGGGGGTCCAAAGTCGCTCAATCTTTCTAAGGTTGAATCTAGGGTTGGATATAAACTTATCCAGGCACTCAATATTTAACTAAGGAAGAGCTGCAAAAGGTAAATTCCTACTTTGAGCTGTGCCGCTTTCTGCTTCTGCCCAGTATGATAGGAAAAACAAAACACAGAGTACAAAGTACAGATATTCAGGCCCCAAATTAGAATGCACTGACTATTGTAATCTTGGTTCCTTAGTGGAAGGAAAAGCAAATGAGATCATTTTTGCTAGAGTAGAAAAGTGAATTAAATTGCCTTAAGGAAAAATATCACAAAACATTTAGGCTTAAAGCAAGAGTATAAATACAGGCCATGCTCCTTGGCTGAACAAGGTAGACATGTGCAAGTCCAGACTTTCTATGCCATTCTTTCTCAAACTTGGCAACTTCAAGATGTGTGGATTTCAACTCCCAGAATTCCCCAGCCAGCAAGTTGCCAAGTTTGAGAGATACTGCTTTATCCAGTAATAAGGGGAGGGGGGGAATTGAGTTGTGGAAAAATACAGGAAAGTTAAGAATAGAAGGGCTTCTAATTGCCCCCATCACCCTGACACAAATTCTATTCAGTACAGCTTAGTATATCCAATCTTTTCAGAATTAGATAACAGTCCCCCTTCAGATTTTATGATCAAATATTGTCTGGTGCAGCTATAATCATCAAGGTTGGATTATCCTGCAGGACATCTTTGCAATTAGCCAAGAACCCCAGGGAGGATTCGACAGGTACAACTTGATGTTGCATGAACAGAACTATCCCGCTGATTTCTGCTGCAGAAAATGCTTCCAGAACATCGGGAATGGACAACAGAAGTCAGCCCCTCCAGCTATTTTGAAGAAATGAATGGAAGCCAAAATAAGCTGCAGCATTTGACCTGTGTGATTGTGCATCTCCTCCCAAATTATCAGATGCTGACAATGCAGACAAAATACTATCCGGATCCAAAACTGTACTGATCCAAGTTGGTGTGGAGCAGCATGTCTGCTTGGACCCAAACATCCGAGATGCTTGCAATCCACAGATATGGATTATAAGTGTATAGATTATCCCATTGTTGTGGAAAAACCACAATACTTACATCAGAAGACAAGACCATGAAGGGTTGGAGAAAACAGGCTTTATTTGTGCAGAATGGTTCAGAGCATTCGCATGACAGATTCTGTCATTTTTATACAGCTTGCCGCCCACGCTTAACCTAATGGATGACTTCTTATCTACCTTTAACACACTAAAACAGAGAAGTTTATATCTTGAAGCTACACAAGGAAAAAGGAGAAGTTCACACAAACGGTTGTCTTTTTTTTTTATTAAAAGTTTTACAGTTTTACAATAAAATCCCTCTCCCACTACCTCCCTACCCTCCCAAAAGCCCTCCCCCACCTTCCCAGAGCTGAATACAGGGTTAACTAGAACTAAAAATACAAAACATTTAAACTTAAGTAAACCTCAAACAAAAGTTACATTAAAAACAATCCAATATATATATATAATAAAAAAATCCAATATATATATATATATATAATAAAAAATACTTATTATCTTAAACTTTAAACTTTAAACATAAATTATTCAAAAGCTAAATAATATCTTTTAATATCATACTTATGCTGTATAAAGTTTATCCATCTTTTCCACACCAAGAGGTATTTCTCTTGCGATTGATCTTTCAAATAAGCCGAAATTTTTGCCAACAAACGGTTGTCTTATCACACCTCTCTACACGGGTAATATCTTACACCATCTGTGACTTTCAGCTGACACTTCTTGTAAAAATGTTTCTTCATAGAATTGCACACAGGTCATCACACTCAGCCAGTTTATAGTATTAGTTAATGCTTTCAAAACATCACCTCTGTTAATTAAAATATAATTCAAAAGTACTTTATCATTTCTCTTAATGGCAATTTTCCATCTACCTCACCAGGGTTATCCTTAGGATGATGACTTGGGAGACCAAGGCCATTACTGAGTGGCTTGTAAACAGGAGAAATCAGTTAAGGCTGTTTGTGGGTGGGATACAACTTCTTGACTAGAACTGTGCAGTGCAAGCCTTCAGAATCATTAGAAGCTACAGTATGTTAGTGTGGCTTTGGGAAAGAAGATTGCCTAAAAGTGGGGAGGGAACCCAAAAGTTAAACCATAAACTTCTGGTCTATTAAAGAAACTATTTTACTTGCACATGGGCATTCCTAACAGTGAGGACAATTAACCAGTGGCACAGTTTGCCTTCAGACGTTGTGGGTGCTTCATCACTCGAGGTTTTTAAGAAGAGACTGGACAGTCACTTGTCTGCAATGATATAGGGCAGGGGTCCCCAATCCCCGGTCCATGGACTGGCACCGGGCCTCGGCATACTAGCAACCGGGCCACGCAAACAAGTGAAGCCCCATCTGCAGGATGCAGGCAGTACATGAAACTACGCACCCTCCGGTCCACGGAAAAATATTTCTCCACAGAACTGGTCCCTGGTGTCCAAAAGGTTGGGTGCCTCTGATATAGGTCTCCTGCTTAAGCAGGGGGCTGGGCTAGAAGACCTCCAAGGTCCCTTCCAGCTCTATTCTGATTGATTGATTTTTGTCCAAAAATCAATGATGTCATGGGGATTGTAGTACAAATAAGATGAATTTTGTCATTTAAGTTTTTCTACCTGTTTCCTTTGGGCAGATAGACCTCGTGAGGTCAGGTTGTACTATGGTGCTGAGAAACCAGTTTCCTGCTCTTTGTTTCTAAACAGAACAAACCATAGAAAGTTTGGATGCTGCATGCTTTCTTGATATAACTCTGTGGGGGAGATGCCTGCGGAGAGGTCATAAAAGTCTCAAGATGGCAACTGCGACAGTGCAATCAAAACTCCACCAGTTTATGTGCATTTCATGCTCACCCCTGATCTCAGTGTTCGCTGGGTCCAAATGCATCAGGAGAAGCCTATACGCTCAATGGATAGCCTTCAGATTAAATAAGCAAAATAAAAGTAACATGAATAAAATCATGAGGGTATAATGATGGTTGTCTCTCAGTAAGGAGCTGCAAACCATATCTGGTCTGGTTTATCCATGATGAGCCCTTCTCATTCTTCTCCAAGAAATGAGTGGGGGCTTCATGGCTTTCACCAAAGATGTAAGCCAGGCTCTGCTCAGGTAGAGAAGGCAGATGGTAGCCACAGCCTCAGTTACCTTCATAAAGTGGACGTTAACAGGGGCTCCAGGCCATCCAACTGAAAATCCCTGTGAAAAAGGGGAATTTGTTGTAGAAGGTGTCAACATCTCAAAGATAGTGGGCATCACTTCCAACACAATGCCATGCCCACCAAGTTTCAGATTTTGAAGGCCATTTTGAATACCACTGTTCCTGACATTCTGGAACTCACTGGCTTTTGGGAAGAAGCATATATTCAGCCACAGTTAAACAATATTACTTATTATTTGTTTACAACGAAAGGTAACCACACAATCTCTTCCTTTGGCATCAGTGGGATTTAAAGATACTCATCTTTTAAATAATAGGAACCATCTTTAGACTGTGTTCAATTTCTATTCTACCTTAGATTTAGTCCTGCATGGAAGAATTGTGCACGTTAGAGGATAACCCTGAAAAATATCTGACAGAACAGAAAGTGCTGAATATTCTGCGGATGTTACTACATCTTACACTTTTTAGGTATTTTCAGGGAGAGAGGGAGGGGTATAAATGCAAGTTAAATTCCACAAGTGTCTTATTTCTCAAATAAGGTCTCCTTTCAGTGAGGTGAGCATGTTCAAGATCCGTAGCAACAACAGGCTCTATTTACATGTGAAGCAGTTAAATATTATAGCCTGTGAAGGCATCTAGCAGAACCTGTTAGCACAACTTATCAACCAAATAAATAGCAGGTCAATGATGGAGCAATGGGCTGAGTGAGTTTACTTGGGAGTTGAAATACTTTTTGGCCAAATTCTGGGTGAGAAGGCACTTAGATGACATCCCACTCGGATTATCAATCAGACAATATTTTTTCTTTGTGCCTTTCTTCGTGTATCTTTTTTCCCTTTTCTTTGATTATTTTCATTTAACACACATTTTAAATAACATTAAAAGTTCATAACTGGAATTGGTCCAGTAAAATGTGAGGACATACTTCTTTTTTTTATAAATAAAGTTACACACTGTAAGTACAATAATTTTAAAACCAGGCAAATATGGTTTGAGACTGATTATAGGTCCTTTGTTCCACTTTTTGTATACTAACTTTTTTTCCCCAAAAAGGCCACCTTTAAAATTGATCAAGGGAAGGGAAAGCTAGCCATTGAGAAAATGTGTGGTTTTTAAATCAACTTTTACAAGTGCTTTATTTGTGATTGCCCTACTGAGAGGCTAAAACTGATATATGGTTATTCTCAGTGTCCTCTTCAGATCCACAGCTTATGCAAAAAGAGAGCAAAAAATGGGACAGACATTCAAAGAGCCCTCAGTCCAGATTATGTGTGAAACCGATGCACAAGTCAAGGCCTTGAATAGCTTGGACAAGAGGATGAAAGTTAGGCCAATGAATAGTACAGGTGGAGTCTGACAGAATCTGGATTAGACTTCTTTTTCAGGTTTCAATGTAGATTTCTGAACAAGACACTGTTTTACTGGTTCAACCAGTAAGATTTTGACATCCATGAAACCAAGAGGGTTTCATGTTTCATCCACTTCACATTTGTGAAGCTGCTCATTGACCATGTCAACAACTCATTACTTCCTCCAGTATCCTGTCTAATATCTGACATTAGGAAGAGGAATCACTCTGATTGCTTATATACGGTGTGTCTCTGTGAATGACATACCAAAAAGCCCAGCTAGCATTGTAGACTCTTACACCTGAGAAGGTCACAAATACCAGGTATTGTGGTTTGATCCTTCAGAAATCTCATCTTCCCAAGCGTGAACCAGAAAATGAAGGAAAATGCAGGAAATTCTTGTTCAAGAATAAACAAGGGGTTCTGCGGTGTGGTTAAAAAAAACAAATCAAAGTGGTAGCTGGGATGTGTGGTCAAAGCTCTGCCTGGTTTTTATCTGCTTGGAGCATATTCAGATGGTGCAAAGCCAGTCTTTCCCTCATAAATACTTTGGTGCAATTGTTTGGCCAGACCCAATAACAAGCACCACTGCATTTTTTCCCTTACCTTTACTTGAGAAATTATGCCGGCAGGCCTGGGGTTTATAAAATCTGACCCCTGGATGACTGTTCTTGTACTGTTTGTTTTGTTATGTTTTATGTGTTTTTATTGTTAGCCGCCCAGAGTCCTCCGGGAATGGGGTGGCTTATAAATTTTAAAAATAAAATAAAATAAATAAATGCAGCGTGAAAGAATTAGTATAATACAAAGAGGAATAAGAAATAAGCAAGAATAAAATAATTTATTCTGGTGCAGATAGGAGTCCAGAAAAGCTAATTTTCTCTATGTACAATAGAGCTTGACTGGAAAGATTAAAAGAAAGCTTGAGTTTAGGATTATCTGAACAATATAAAGAAAAGCTAAATATCCCTGTGAGAGGACAAGATATATACCAGGAAATAGATGGTAAGAATTCCTCTGCAAGTGTGTATAAATGAAGGCCTTATATTTCTTCCATATCTAGGCTACTTTCAAGGTGCTTGTCCATTGGACCCCTACAAGAACCTGGTTTGGTTCTTTCAAGGAACTCTCCAGCTTTAATAAAGCCATCATAAAATCTTTGGCTGATCTGGGGTGGGAAGTGGGAGAGCAAAATTGAGTAGGGACAGATCTTGGATGAGAAATCTACAAGAAATCTCAGAGTGAGCATCTTGGACAGGACGCCAGAAAAGAAATTAAGGGAATAGCAAATGGGTTCTATATTATGGAAAGAAATGTCTACTAAAAAAGAAAAGGACTTGCCTTAGATTTGGATTGTTTTTCAGATTCCTACATATTGGTTCTACAACGAACATTTCCTTTAATTAAGTAGGCCTGAAATGTACTGAACTTTTTTTAGCTTTCATCGACTGAACTCGATTGCAAAGTTGGGGAAGAAAACTGCAACGTTTTCATGTTGTTTCCAACTCACAACCCTGAAATCGTCAGAGATCTGGCTTGACACAAGGGAAGTTTCTGTACTTCCAGCAAGGCTGATAAATTAGCTGAAATATGGACAATCCATTCCTTAGAGGAAGAAATATGGCTTGTTTGTACTTAAGCATTAAAGCACTAAAATAAGCTGTATGGATGAGGTGGGATTTTCTTCAACGTACTTAAGCCTAAATTTCTTCTTCAAGATTGTGAGACTATAGTCACTTCCTCGGCCTAAAGAACTCCAGTGGACTCAGTAGTACATGACCACTTCTGAGCATAATACATAGGATTGCACTGCAAAGGATATATAAATAATAAATATGAACACTTGAAAGCGTGTGTTTGCAATGGTCTTCTCAATGTAAGGAACCTGAAAATAACACTGTCTGGTTTCTGCCCAGATTCCATAAAGCTTCATGCTTTGAATATTTGGTAGAACCCCTTGCACAACAGATATCCCACCTTACTAGGTCCATGGCCTGATTCTCTGGTTTACCCTGTTTCCCAGCCTAGTTTTATGTTTGCCATTAAGGACCTCCCTTTCTTTCTTTTTTTAAAGGAGAAAAATCTATCATTCTGGTCACTGCCTTTCAGTTGTTAAATCAGGTGGAGTTCAGCAAAGCTTCTAGGACGTCAGAAGAAAATTGAACCTTTAGATTCCAGCCATGCAGCTTTATGGTGTGAAGCTGGGTTTGCTTCTGTTTTTTGCTGGCAGCTTGAGATCAGGATGGACCATTCCATTAGAAAATCTTGAGAAAATCCGTAAGTATGACTTTCTGCAGTGAAATCAAGATTGGAACTGCATGAATTAATATGGACATTCCCAATGGGGGGCATTCAGATGTCTTAGTACAGAGCCTAGCCAGAAGGACCACAGGAACTGTAGGTAAAGATTATCTAAAGGCACCACAAGGAGAAGATCCCATAACTTCACCATTGGCCAAAGCCAATTTGTCAAAATGCAGATATTATCCATGAGAGTCTAAGTGTGCGGAGAGAGTTTTACAGGCAAATAACTTTATTAAACCATACCAATTCATTGCTTACTCAGGCAATTTGGGGACAAATTAAAAGGGAACATCTTTATCTGTTCAGACAGATTAAATTCTAGAATATTATCTTAATTTTTTTTTATACATTCTATTTTAGGATTTTCTCTTTCACTGCTACAAAGTAGGATTGGTAAATCCTTCTCTGCAATGTCTCCTGTGGTTTAGGAGGCGAGAAGGAGAAATTTAGATGTTTCTTCAGCTTTTCCTTGTTTGTTTGTTTTTTTGTTTGTTTCTTTTTAAGCATTGAAGCAGTGAAATATTCTTCCCTTAGTATTTGGATATATTTTTTAAAAAAATTAATTGAACCTATTGGATAGAGTTAAATGATGCTTTGTGGAATAGAAGAAGCAGCTTTCATAACATTGCAGGCTTTTTATGTTAATACTTTTTGGAAATTGCATTTCTGAATAAATTGTACCAGGCTGTCATATTTCATGAAAAATGTGTCATCATGTGGCTTACAGACTTAAGAAATACACTAATATTCGTCCTAATTTCATATTTCATATTTTTAGCCCTGGATTTCTCCTATGACAACACCATGCTTCTCACCACCCTCCTGGGCACCAATTTTATTATTAATATTCCAAAATGTGTCTCTTCCTCCAAGTTTACATCAGCCACAGTCAGAATAGCAGTGGCTCAACTTCCGGATGCATCCACTTTACCAGGTACTATAGATGGAATATGCAAGTCTTTATTGTGTTTAACAACTTAAATACAACATGAGGAACAGATAAGAGTAAACGTCAGGCTAAGAAATTTCATTCATGCAATTAAGCTCCTCTACTAAAATTTCACAGATGTTTCTCAGAGGAGGATCTTCCTAACTAGCTTTCAAATTTTGATTTCCAAACCAGTTGAGCAAACAACTTAAAAACCCAATAGCTCTTGCTGAGGCCATCTGTTATGTCCCGAGCCTTTGCAAACGGCTCGGGCGTTTGCAGGCAGTCCCGGGCAGGTGCAAAGCTGCCCGGGACCAGACAGGCTGTCGCCAGCGCCGTGCGCATGCGCGGGTGCTGGCGCGGGAAAAGTAACCCATTTACCCGGGAGTTGCCTATATAAGAGGCTGCGAGGCGTTTGGGCGAGGCTGAAGCCATCTTCCTGTAAGCTGAACGCTGAATAAAGAAACTGAGAACTCCAGCTGCTTCTCGTGTCTGTTTCCCGCCACGGACTCAACACTGGCGACGAGGGTGGGATGCCTTGCACTACCTGGAAAGGAAGAAGTGTAAGCTTACCCAAGGAGTCCTGAGCGGCGAAAGAGGAACGGCGTCGACTCGGCAGCTGCCCGCCAATCCGGTGCGCATTCGGGGGTAGGCTGGCTGATAGACCCGTCTCCTGAAGATCCGAAGATGGCGAAAATCGGAAGGCTTTCGGAATTCGACGTCTCACATCCAGAGCGGTGGGAGTCCTACGTATCCAGAATGGAGAACTACTTCAAGGCAAACCAAGTGAGGGAAGATAGCTTGAAGGCCGCCACCCTGCTTTGCGTTTGCGGCCAAGACGCCTTCGAAATCGCAGAAAACCTTGCAGCACCTGTTCCAGTAGAGTCTGTAAGCTACGCAGACCTGAAGAAGCTGATGAAAGAGCACTTCCACCCCAAGGTGTCCGTTATCTCATGGCGCCACACCTTCGAGCAGAGGGATCAACGGTCCGGTGAAACAGCCAAGGAATACATCGCCGCGCTACGGAAGGCCGCCAAGCCCTGCGAGTTCAAGGACCTCGAGGAACGACTGAGGGACCGATTCGTGTGCGGGTTAAGGCATCGCGAGCTACAACAGAGACTTTTCGCAAAGGAAGAATTATCCTTCCAAGACGCCTTAAGGGAAGTCACCGCAGAAGAAGCAGCAGGCGGCGCCATCAAAAACATGCGGCCGATCAGAAACAGTGCAGAGGGTGCGTCCGTGCACCAGGAAGACGTCCGACGAAACTCCGAGGAGGATCCGGACGAGGAAGTCGACCGTCTACACCCCGCGAAGGAAGAGAACCAGAAGGGAAGCTCTTCGGCTCCGCTCAAGTGCATCGGCTGTGGAGGTCGCCACAGAAGAACCGACTGCAAGTTCCGCTCCGCTACCTGCCGGGCATGCGGCAAACAAGGGCACATTGCAGCTGTGTGTCTGAGCCGACGAAAGGCACAACCCCAAGAAGAACGCCTGAAAGGTACCAGATTCCCCAGCCAGAATAGGGTAGGGTTTTGCGCTTCGCGAAGAAGCATCTGTAGAACAGGCACACACAAGCCCATGAAGAAAAAGCTGTCACTCAACGTGAAGCTACAAGGGGTTCCATTATCTATGGAACTAGACACAGGGTCTGCCCTGTCCATCATTTCATTGCATACATTTAGGAAGATTTGTTCCAGAAGTGGGTCTAAGGCCAAGTTAAGGCCTTCTGATATTGTATTAACAGATTTTCAGAACTCAAGAGTGTGTGTTAAGGGGGAGGCCACCCTTAACGTGCAATACAAGAGTTTTGAAGGTCCACTAGACTTATTAGTAGTAGGGGGTGAACGAACGAGTCTCATAGGACTCGATTGGTTTGAGGCCCTGGGGATACACGTCACAGGACTCAACAGCTTACAAACACTCGACCTACAGGAAGTCTGCAAAGAATTTGCAGATGTTTTCAGCCCCCAGCTGGGCACATTCAAAGGACCACCTGTGTCCTTAAAGCTAGACCCCACTGTCACTCCCATTAGGATTAAAGCAAGAAGGGTCCCTTTTGCTTTAAAAAGTAAGATTGACACTGAACTAGACAAACTAATCCAACAGGGAATCCTAGAACCTGTTGATTCCAGCCCGTGGGAGACCCCCATTGTCACGCCTCTAAAGGCAAATGGGGACATTCGCATTTGTGCTGATTACAAATGCACACTCAATAAGGCATTGCAGCAACATGCCTATCCTGTTCCTGTGGTCAGTCACATCCTGGCCTCTCTCAAGGGGGGGCAAGCGAGCAGGCCAGGCATTGGGGCACAGTCCTTGGAAGACACCAGGGCACAATAGAGAGAAAAGGCTCACGCCTCCCTCCAGTCAGGGGACTTATGCCAGTAATCCAGAGCTAAGAAGGTCACAGAGAGCAAAGAAATCTCCCAAGTACCTAGAAGACTACATAACATTGCTGGCAAAGCAAAAGCCAGTAAACAGTGGGAACATTGGGGAGCAAAATGTCGTATAAAATAAATGTTGTATGTTGGTAGTAGTTTTAGCCCGGGGGAAAGGGGTGTTATGTCCCGAGCCTTTGCAAACGGCTCGGGCGTTTGCAGGCAGTCCCGGGCAGGTGCAAAGCTGCCCGGGACCAGACAGGCTGTCGCCAGCGCCGTGCGCATGCGCGGGTGCTGGTGCGGGAAAAGTAACCCCTTTACCCGGGAGTTGCCTATATAAGAGGCTGCGAGGCGTTTGGGCGAGGCTGAAGCCATCTTCCTGTAAGCTGAACGCTGAATAAAAGAAACTGAGAACTCCAGCTGCTTCTCGTGTCTGCTTTCCCGCCAAGGACGCAACACCATCTGTCTTTTGTTTACAAGTCTCTCAACTTCAGTATTCATGCTTTCTAGTTACTGGAGATGCTTAGTTCCTTTTTAATAATAAATGCCTTCATTTTTAAGGCATGGTCCCTGAACTGTAAATGGAACGTGTTGTTCCTCTACCCCAGCTAAGTCCACACATCTTCAAGTTGTCAAGGTGAGAAACACTACGAACGAAGGTGAATATATATGTCCCAGAATGAAGTTGGAGGATCCAATCTGTGTCGGTCCTGGTGACCAACCTTGAGAAACACTGCTCTCTACTCTTTGGATAAATATGCTATGGGAACAGCAGTGGGAACTATATCAAGAAGGAAAAGGGAGAGATGAGAGGTCTAGTAGGTATAGAATGAGAGAACTCACTGTAGGCACTGGGCATAGAACAGTGTTTCCCAAACTTGACAATTTTAAGGCATGTGGACTTCAACTCCCAGAATTCCACAGCCAGCAATGCTGGCTGTGGAATTCTGGGAGTTGAAGTCCACATGCCTTAAAATTGTCAAGTTTGGGAAACACTGGCGTAGAATATCCAGAATTAGAGAATGAAAGAATTCATTGTGGAAACTGGGAAAGGAAGCTCTCATTAAAGAGAAGTCCAGTAGATGATTAGGAATAATTACATTCTGTAGCTGTCTTGAAGATAATCAAGCATAGACATTGAGAGCAAGCAATCTAGATGGGTAGCGAGTGGAAGTACCAGCCCTTTGAGATAGGCCAGGTCAGGATTGGCAAAGATTCCAGGTGTCCCAATTTGTTGTTGTAGGATATAACAGACGGTTGAAAGTCTGCCAGAGATTCTCTCTGTTGTCCTTTTGACTTTTTTTTTGACACTCTTCCCATGGATATCTCTTGTTGGGTCTATGTAGGCTTTGGATGGGAAAAAATGTCCGCAAAAGAAAGCTGTGAGATGCTGCTTCCATGTTGCTGTCAATGGCATGAATGGGTCTAAGGAATAGTCAAGATTGAGCTTGAGTGGAAGGAGATTTTAACCTTATTCTATAAGAAAAGAAGGAAAATAACAGTTCCCAGCGAGGTCTGTGACTCAGGCTGGAAATATTTTCCTTTTTCATCCTCATGCCTTTTGCATGAGGCAGTTCTCTGCATGGACAGGAAAAACTTGCTAATCAACAATTTCAAAGAACTCCATAAGCTGCTGCAGCATCTGCCATATTTGTTCTGAAATGGTTAACGGACCCGGATTGTTGCAGTAGCAATTCAGCTATTCTGTATGAAGTGGAGGGTTAATATTCACTTCCTCTTTGGACAAGGTCATTCAAGAAAGCAAGAATATGACATTCTTTCTTTTCCCGGGTGTCCCCAATGGCTGTTTCCTTCAGGGAACTAAGCTATAATGTACTTTAGTGTTTGGTGAACCTAGCCACTGTGCTTTGTAAACCCGGGTTTCTGCTTTAGTGACATGGGAACCCAACTAATTTGGAGACCTATAACTGGTATTATAGTTTAGCGTTAGTCCTAATCAGCAGGTGAGATCTTAACCAACAAATTCAGTATGAATCTACAAATACCATCTCCCATTCTTTTTCTTCAAAACATTTTATATTACTTGGCATTAATAAAAATATCTCTAAACAACTTAAAACAATGTTGCTCCATTGGCTGGGTTTCAAACATAGAATGAGTCCAGAAAAATGCCTTTTTTGTTCCACTGAGATCTACTTCCCCATACAGATTTGTGTATGGATGATCCACGAATCCCATTGAGCTAAGGCTTTTCTTGATCCCTGCCTGAGATCAACTTTGGCTGATCTCAAAAGCTGAGCAGGTTAGACTATCCTGATTAGTCCAGGATGGGCAGTCCAAGGATAATCAGTTTAAATGACACATTTTTAAAAAGTCAGTTAAAAAGAGACAATATTAAACCCTTCTACACAATTGCTAGAAAACCACATCAATATGCCAAAAAGTGTTGGCTCAACTCAAAGGTGCTTATACCTTGATTTACTTAATATGTAACATAATTAGCATAATAATCTAGGTCAGTGTTTCTCAACTTATCAACTTTAAGATATGTGGATATAAAGTCTCAGAATTTCCCAGCCAGTCATTCTGACAAGAAATGTAGATCTAATGCTGCAACTTCAGCCTAAACTATCTTTGTAGTTTATCAATACTGCCCAATTTTTTTCTCATCTTCTTTCACTTCAGTTTTGAGGGTACAGTTTTATGCAACATCAAGGAAAAGGAGGGACAGAATCCATTCCCCCATCAGTTTCACAGAAATAGACTTTGGTTACACCATTGTGGCCATCATCTTGACATTCTGACAATACCCTGCTTGAGGGAAAGTGGTTTTCTAGGTTTCCCATATCTAGGCTGCCAAACAAAACAAGCCATCATATAGCCACAGATGCGCCATGTCTATACAGGGTAAATGTTGATCTAGTGCAGGGGTCTTCAAACTTGGTCCTTTTATGACTTGTGGACTTCAACTCCCAGAATTCCTCAGCAAGCATGCCTGGCTGAGGAATTCTGGGAGTTGAAGTCCACAAGTCATAAAAGGGCCAAGTTTGAAGACCCTTGATGTAGTGGTTGTCTAGATATTTGCAGCCCATATCTCATTGGTCTAATTTTTTGTCATAGCTCATCCTGTCTGCAGTGAGTCATCATAGACCAACGGTTCTCAACCTATGGGTCGCAACCCCATTTGGGGTCGAACGACCATTTCACGGGGGTCGCCAAACAATGCGATCTGCCATTTTTTTTCCTCAGCCGGCGCAGGGGGCGCCGCCGCGCATGCGCGCCGTGCAGGGGGCGGCGCAGGGGGGCGGTGCCGTGCATGCGCGCCATGCAGGGGGCGGCGCAGGGGTGGCGCCACGCATGCGTGCCGCGCAGGGGTGGTGCCGCGCATGCGTCCCACGCAGGGGGCGGTGCCGCGCACGCACGCCGCCTCCTTATAACCGGGGTTGCTGGTATAAAAAGATTGAGAACCACTGTCATAGACCCTATCCAGTTGTAGAATTATCTACCTGGCAAGTATGTCTAGGAAAGCTGAATTCTTCCCTCTTTCTATAAGGTGACCAACCGTCCTCCTTTCGGGAGGACAGTCCTCCTTTTGTAAGTTCTGTCCTCCCTCAAAAAGTGTCCTCCCACATGTCCTCCTTTTCAATATTTGAAGACTAATTTGCAGGGCTTTTTTTTCCCCTCATAGAATGCTCAGAACGGCGTTCCGGCACCTTTTTTTGATATTTTTTTTTTTTCAACTTTTGCATGAGCTGTGCTACTCCCACTGTTGGCTTTCGAAAGCCAATAGGAATTGCTGCTGAGCGCGCCAAAACACCCGGCTGGCAAACTTTGCACATGCAAGTTGTCTATATTATTGTTGCAATGAATAAAATGTTTCTTTTATTTACGATATTTTTTTCTTCAAGTTATTTGTGTCCTCCTTTTCACTGTAAAAAAGTTGGTCACCTTACTTTCTACCCATTTGAAAAGTTGGTGATTCTTCTGGTGATGAAACCAGCCAGTAATGTTTATATTTCTGTTGCCCTTTTAAAACTTCTTTTCAGGTGTAACAGATACTGAACAGATTGAAAATATCCGCAGGACTCCTCAGGCCCAGGTGTATTTTGCGGATGAATTCAAGAGCACCTCCTGCAGGATGACCAGGGACCTTCTAGTTCTTGACCTGGATGATAGCCAGTATGAGTTGATCACTGTGATTGGCTACCAGGTGGGAACCGAACTATGCCGTCAAACCAAAGGTCCGTTCTGCAACCAACCCCTTAAGCCATCAACTTTTTATAGGTAATTGTGGACCAAGAAATATATAAATGTCTTCCCCTTTTTTTTTCCAGACTTCAACTTTCCTCTCTTAAGGAAGACCCTGATTTATGACCTGTCATTTAACAACCATTCAAAGTTATGGTTAACTTTTGAAAAGCTACTTACAATCTATCCTCAAAGTTATGACGACTACATAAACACATAGTCACATGGTTGCATTTTGGATCCTTGGCAACCAGCTTACATTTATGACCAGTTGCAGCGTCCTGTGATTTGCTACATTTTTTGCCTTTTTCTGGCAGAAAATGGCAAAAAACACCCAATGGATATGCTGGATTCACTTCATCACTTTCCTTTACAACAATTATAAAAATGGTTGTAAAATCAAGTCCAGTCATGTGGTGCCTCAACTGATGACTGCAATGACATATGACTTAAATTCTGGTCTCCACTGTGGTTATAAGTTGAGGACTACCTGTATTTTCCATGGAAAAGTGAGGCAGAACAGAGCTGGAAGGGACCTTGGAGGTCTTCTAGTCCAGCCCCCTGCTCAAGCAGGAGAATCTATACTGTCTCAGACAGGTGAATGTCTAGTCTCTTCTTGAAAATCTCCAGTGATGGAGCACCCACAATTTCTGGAGGCAAGCTGTTCCACTGGTTAATTGCCCTCACTGTCAGGAAGTTTCTCCTTAATTCCAGGTTGCTTCTCACCTTGACCAGTTTCCAACCATTATTTCTCGTCCTTCTCTCTGGTGCTTTGGTGAACAACCTGACCCCTTCTGCCTTGTGGCAGCCCCTCAGATACTGGAACACTGCTATCACTAGATACTGTGTGCCCCTCATCATAGTGCCATTTAAGGTTAAATTTCTGTACTTGTTTTCACAGTTATCTATTTGTGGGGGCCTGTCCCAGTAACTCAAGATGGCAGCTGCAATTGTCAAAGCCCCACCCTTATGCCACGCATGTTAATAACACACATATTAAAAGGAGGCAGGCCATGGCTATCCTTTTTTAACACAGGGCCCTTGTTTTGATGTATTGCATGCGTCATGCCTGTAAAAAGGGTGTGGAGCTTTAATCTTGACTTTTTTATCCATCTCCATAGAAACTTTTAGTTAGGTTTTTTTTTTTTATGTTTTATGATGTGTCCTAGTAGTTGGATGGTCTTCCGCCCATTGTTTCATGAGGTTCTTCCTCCTTGTTTTAAGGATGTTAAGAGATTTATTTTGTTTTTGTTGTTTTTTTGCTAAGATACAGCATTTGCTAAGGGTCCAGGACAGGGGTAGGCAACCTTGGCTCTTTTATGACTCGGGAACTTCAACTCCCAGAATTCCTGAGCCAGCATGGCTCAGCTTGGAAACCTCTCCCTTTCCCTTCAGCCTGGCTGGCTCAGGAATTCTGGGAGTTGAAGTCCACGAGTCATAAAAGAGCTAAGGTTGCCTACCCCTGGTCCAGGAGATACCAACATCCATTTATAATCTCTCTATCTTTTTGAAGCCCCATCTGCCATCGACCTTCCTTCCACATTTCTAAACATTTTCTTTTCTTGTCTTTTGCTCCTTCTTTCATTTCAAGGGTGAACTACTTTTTTTTGGATGAGAAATCTGTGATAAGAGCACATACAGATTGGTCAACAGCCATTCAGACCAGAAATGGTAAGTATCAAGATCTTTCATTAAAAACAAAGCTATGTTAGTAGAGGATTATTTCTTGGCTGCTTTGTGAACATTCTATCTACCTTCCTCTCTCCCCCCCCCCCTTTCTTGTATATGATTGCCCATATCAACATTCTTGAGTTAGAGCAGTGGTTCTCAACCTGTGGGTGACCATTTTACGGGGGTCGCCAAACAACACAGTCCGCCATTTTTTCCCCTTTTCCTTAGCTGTGCTACTCCCTTTTATTCTATTGGCTTTTGAAAGCCAATAGAATAGACTCTCTTGAATAGAGGCTAATTCTATTGGCTTTCAAAAGCCAATAGGAATTGTCCAGGCTGTCTCTGCCCTGCTGAGCCCACCAAAAGTCCCATTCTGCAAACGGTGCTGCAAATTGTCTGTAGCGAAGGCGAGCTGTCTGGAAGTTTCCACCCCTCCCTGCTGAGCAACTACTAAAAATATAAGTAAGGGGTGGGAGGTGGGAGGCCGGCGGGCGCAGGGAGGATTGCTGGCACGTGTGGGGCCCGGCGGGTGCCTTACCTCCCTTGGGCTGGGCCAGCTGGTGGCTCAGCTGGTGGTTGGCCTGCTCCGTTTCTGCCGCTTGCCAGCTACGCCTCGGCCAGTGCAGGGGGCGGCACCACGCATGCGTGGCGCTCCCAGGCAGGGAAAGTCCTTGACTTACGACCGGTTGGGTAATTTATGACCAGTTGGGTAGTCCTTGACTTACGACCAGTTGGGTAGTTCTTGACTTACGACCGGTTGGGGGTCGCGGCATTAAAAAGGTTGAGAACCACTGAGTTAGAGGGATTTTTCCCACAGGAACGTATCTTAAGAAAATAGCTAACTTCATTAGTTAATTAGTTACTTCATTAGTAGAGGAAAAAAAATGAAATTTCCCCATTAAGAAAATATTTTCTGGCCCACAACTTCCTGACTGGATCAATCCATTGCTTTAATCTAGAACCAGGAAACCCCAGCAGCAGCATTTTTATTCTCAAATGAACCTCATAACATACACCTACAAGTGAGGGTTTTTTTGCAAGGATGCCCCCTTGCCCAGAGAAAGTGGCAAGGTTGGTGGGACAAACGAGAAACTTTAGAATTTGAGCAAGTGGGCCTCCTGGAAAAGTAGCATTTTTGAGCCACTTCCTAGATGCGCCTTCAGCTCTCAATGATGTCATAAATGCTAATTCATCCCTCAAAGGTTGGCTATTTCCATGCAAGGCCATGACTTTAAATATAGTTTGGGGAACACAATGCTAAGCCATAAGCCATGGTTTACAAGTCATATGGTTGGATTCATAAATGGGGCTGCATAAATATTCAGATGTAGCGGCTGAGAGTTCTCACCTTCTTGGATCAAACTGCATCAGCCAAAAAGTGATGTATTGGAATCAAGCTTGCCAGATCTCATGAGCTGCTTTTTTGCTGGGGACCCATATGAAGTCAAAGTTTAACAGCTTTGTAAGATCAGGCAGTGCCAGTATGATTGTAAGCCACCCAGTTTTACTCTGAGGTAACATGGGCAGCCAATAAATTTTATAAATCAATCAATTAATCAATCCAGTATGCAGAATACAGAACAATAAAAATGGAAGGGACCTGCGAGGTCTTCTAGTCCAGGGCTTTTCAACCTTTTCACCCATTGTACCACTTTTAGGATATGGCAATATCTGAGTACCACCAGTCGCCTAGCAAGGTGTCAAAAACTTGATGACCCCCCCTCCAAAAAAGGAAAAAGTGATGAAATAATCCTCGACTTACAACAGTTCGCTTAGTGACTGTTCAAAGTTACAATAGCACTGAAAAAAGTGCCCCCCAAGCCACAGCCGAGCAAGACACCTGCCTGCCCACCTGACGGTGCTCTTCCTCCTGTCCGAGGTTTTCATTGTTGTGAGCATTTATGTTGAGGATTGGCAGTGAGGGTGGGGTAGGGTGGGGGGTGTTTGGTTTTTATTCTCCCGTCTGCTGGGTGGTTGCAGCAGGTTTTGGTCACTTCCCATGACCCTGAGACACTGTGACCATCATAAATATGAATCAGTTGCCAAGCAGCTGAATGTAAATCACAAGATCCTGGAGATGCTGCAACATTCCAGTTGACCGGCGCTTCTTCTGGGCTCAGCAGATGCGCCAGGATCAGCGCCGAGCTCCAGCTGGAGCCTGGCGCTGATCCTGGTGCTTCTGCTCAGCCCTGACAGCCCTGAAGTGCTGATCCTGGTGCTTCCGCTGAGCCCTGACAGCCCTGCAGCTCCAGCCATCTCTCACTTAGGCTTGTGCAGTGCTGCCACCGGTTCAGCTTATTCTCCTCCCCCGCTATTTTCTAGGATGGTCGCGTACTACCTGCCAGGTGCCAATGTACCACAGGTGGTACCCATACCACTGGTTGAAAAGCCCTGTTCTAGTCCAATCTTCCAACTCTGTTATTCTGTATTCTGCATATTAGAAATACCAGTACCCGCTGGTCTTATAAAGCTGCTAAACTTTGACTTGATGCAAATGGAAGGAGGAGAAGAAGATGAATGACCCCAGATCATGGGCAAGAAAAGAGATGTAACGATTGCTCTAAATGGATGCCTATCCCCACACATTATAGCTTAACTAAACACCAGTTTTATAAGAGGGCTCTTCTGCTGCCCAACTCTTGGCAGCAGGAGAAAAAGAATCTTTGCTGAAGGAAATGTGGAACTTATAGGAACTTTAAATCTGGATCTCTTTTCATGCATGAAAATCAGTGGTGGGATTCAAATATGTGAACAACTGGTTCTCTATGTGGATGCCACTTCCGGAAGTCCATTCTGGGCCTGGGCAACAAAAAATTAGCTACCGGTTCTGCCAAACTAGGGTGAACCAGCTGAATCCCATCCCTGATGAAAATGAAAGAGATCCAGTTCCTACAAATTCCACATTTCCGTCTTGAAAACATTTGTTTGCTGATGTCAACTCATTCCTCCTCGTCTGAAGAACTCAACCAAATTCTTGGTTTCCACAGAGGAAGTTATGAGTATTTCCAGGCTATGAGGTTGTTTTTCAGACCTGAATGTAATTTACAGACATAACAAGGATCTAAATCAGAGTTTGTTTTGAAACTTCATGGAATGTTTGCCTCTTAACTCTGTATTTCTTTGCCTTCCAGTGACCAACTATGAATCAGCTGATATAATGTTTGAAGGACGTGCAGGAGGCATGATCGTAATTACTATTTTGGTCTCCGTGGGTGGAGCTGTCCTTCTAATTGCCTTAATTGTAGCAGCTGTACTTTCTAATAAGAAGTAGACCGTTGGTTTCATCTGGATTGAAAACGATTGTGGGTATGGAAAAGGAGAATTTGCTTAGAAGTCAAAGGGGATTCTGCTGGCCCTCACTCAAGGAACAAACTGGTAAAGAATGAAAGCAGCATCAAATAAAACAGAACATTTACAATTTCTCCGACACGATTCTTCAGATTTTACCTGCCTTACTTCGAACACATCATATTTTGGATGCATTTTGAATCATTTGTCTGCAACGATAATCCTGGATTCAGCAAATTATTTTAGAACACCTATTATCAGTACGGCCCTTGTTTCAAATATACTAGGATGGCAAAGCTTGGTTGACTGCCACATAAAATATGAAGGAATTCTGCATAAACTTGGACTTAACCAAGTTCCTAATTCCAATTGTCTACAAAAGTTCTAGGAAGAGAAATACCATATTATGAGTGTCCATAGGGGAGGCGCTCCATTGCAATTATGACACGAATTACCTATTTTTATGTTTTTATTTTTTTTCTTTTTTTTTCTTTTTTTTAATCTTGAAAATTTTTATTTTTTTAAAAACATACAATCATTTATAAAAATACAATAAAATTTTAAAATAGAGAACCCCCCCCCTTACCCTCCCTCCCACCCCCACCCCCCCTCCCTTCACTTCCCAGAGCAGAATACAGGGTTAAGAAAAAAAAAGAAAAAGAAAATTATAATAATTTAAAAAAAAGAAAAAAAAAGAGAAAGAAAAAAAAATATCATAATTAACCTTTAACTCCATAACTTATAAAACAATTCTCTATAATATGTGATATTCATTCATAAAATAAATAAAACTTTTTAATTCCATATTTTTTCTGAATATAATCTATCCACCTTCCCCATACAGTAATATATCTTTCTTGTGTATGATCCTTTAAATAAGCAGAAATTTTTGCCATTTCTGCAAAACTAGATACTTTAAATATCCATTCTTATAAAGTAGGCAAAGAATCTTTCTTCCAATATAGACCTACTAGTAACCTTGCTGCAGTTAATAAATTCAACATCAAAGTAGTTTCTTTTTCATTTAAGTCAACAAAAATACCAAGTAAAAATAGTTGAGGAGGAAACTTTATCTTCTTTCTAAAAATCTTTTGAATGTTCCACCAAATCATAATCCAAAAAGCCTTTACTTTTTTACAATCCCACCAAATATGAAAGTATGTCGCATCATTATTGCCACATCTCCAACATTTGGGCTGTATGTTGGAATACATACAAGATAATTTTTTAGGATCTAAATTCCATCTATAAAACATTTTATAAAAATTTTCTCTCAAATTTTGAGCTTGTGTAAATTTAACATTTCTTATCCAAATTATCTCCCATAAATCCAATGAGATCGGCTCCTGTATATTCTGAGCCCATTTAATCATACAATCTTGAACCAATTCTGTTTCCGAATCTAACTCTAATAAAACATTATATATTCTTTTTATATGAGCCGGACCTTGGTTTTTAATCTGAATAACCAATTGTCTATCTTCTAGTGTTATTCCCTCTTTCTTATCTACAGTCCATCTATCCAGTATTTGTAAATATTGAAACCATGACTGTAGAATATTTTGCTGCCTTAATACATCTAGGGATTTCAAATGCCAATTCGAAACAGAACAAATTAACAATTCTTTATATGAAATTTTATCAAAATTTGTCCCCTTAGAGGTTCCCTCAATTGCATGTCTGGGAATCCCCCAGATAGGTATGTTATAATTTAATCTATAATAATACTTCTTCCAAACACGAAGTAAGGCATTCCTCAAAATATGTGATTTAAAAGTCCGATCAACTTTCTTATTAAAAATTAAATATGCATGCCAACCATATATTAAATCCCAACCTTCCAAAAAAAGAATATCCATATTTGTTAAATTAAGCCAATCACGTAACCAAGTTAGGGCGGCTGCATCATAATATAATTTCAAATTGGGTGCCTTAAGTCCCCCTCTTTCTCGAGCATCCTGTAATATCTTAAATTTAACCCTTGGTTTCTTCCTGGCCCATATAAAATTATTGATACCCTTTTGCCATTCCTCCAAATTTGCCTCTTTTTTAAGAATAGGTATCATCTGAAACAAAAAAAAGAAACTTTGGTAGAACATTCATTTTTACAGCTGAAATTCTCCCCAACAATGACAATTGCAATTTTTTCCAATCTATTAAATCCTTTTGGACTTTTGCCCATAGTGGTTCATAATTGTTCTTGTACAATTTTCCATTTGAAGCAGTTAGATATACTCCAAAGTATTTAACCTTTTTTACCATCTGAAAACCTGTGGCTTTAATCAAACTTTCCCTTTCTTTAACTGACATATTCTTAGATAATATCTTAGTCTTATAATTATTAACTTTGAAACCAGAAACATTCCCATACTGTGTTATAAGTTCTAATAAACCATCAATCGCCTGATTCGGCTGTTCCAAAATTAAAACCAAATCATCCGCAACTGCCCGCAATTTATACTCATTCTTCCTTATCTTTACACCCTTAACTAACTTCGATTCCCGAATCTGAATCAATAAAATTTCCAATGTTAAAACAAATAACAATGGGGATAATGGACATCCTTGTCTTGTCCCTTTTTGAATATTAAAATTCTCAGTCAATCCCCCATTTACAACAATTTGTGCAGATTGCTGATGATATATAGCTTTAAGTGCATGTAAAAAATTATCCCCAAAATTCATTTTCTCTACCAAAGAAAATAAAAATTGCCAGTCCAATTGATCAAAAGCTTTTTCAGCGTCCAAAAAAAATAAAAGCCACAGGAATCTGATTATTCTTATCCAAGTACTCAATTAAGTTAATAATTTGTCTAACATTATGTTTCATATATCTCCCTGTTATAAATCCTGCTTGATCACTATGAATCAAATCTTTCATAACCTGCATTAATCTAGTTGCCAAAATTTTTGTAAAGATCTTATAATCAACATTCAATAATGAAATTGGCCTATAATTCTAAGGCTCTGTAAGATCCTGATCTTCCTTCGGAATCAGTGATATAAAAGCTCTTTTCCAAGAAGGAGGAACTTGCATACCCAACAAAATACTATTAAAGAGTTCCTTTAATGGCTCTATCATTTCTTCAGATAAGATTTTATAATACCTAGAAGTCAATCCATCTGTTCCAGGAGACTTTCCAACCTTTAACTGCTTAATAGCTAAGCCAATTTCCTCCACAGTAATTAAACTATTCATCCCATTTTGTTGTTCCTCTGAAAGTCTAGGAAAATGTACTGATTGTAAATATTTATCTATATCCAAACCCCTTTATCACTTGAATATAATTTTGTGTAAAAGTCCAAAAAGCTTTTTTTAATCAAATCTTGCTGAAAAACCTCAGTACCTTTATATTTTACTTTCTCTATAATTCTAGCTTTCTGTTTCTTTCGTAACTGATAAGCCAACCACCTCCCAGGATTATTCGCATTGCAAAAAGTATTATGTCTCATATACGACAGATTGGTAGCCACCTGATCTGCCATCAACATGTTAAATTGTTCCTTAAGCATCTTTATAGATACCTTTAAATTATTATCAGTAGGGTAAAGAACCAACTCTTGTTCTTTTGATTTGATCTCTTCTTCTATTTCTCTACGTCTTTGTGACCCTTTTTCCCTAAAAACTTTATTCAATTGAATCAAAATTCCCCTCATATATGCTTTACTAGCGTCCCACACCATAGACATCGATGTTCACTTATTCATATTTATAGTAAAAAAGTCCTTTAAATGTTCTTTACACTTTTGTAGAACTCCTCCCGATTAAATAAGTTCTCATTCAATCTCCAGGATCTTCTATTCCCGTCTTCCGAATATAACTCCATCCACACCGGACTATGATCTGACAATGTTCTAGGAAAAATTTTCACCTTCCTCACTCTAGGGAGGAAGTCACTAGTAAACAAAAAAAAAATCAATCGTTGAAAATGACTGGTGTCTATCAGAATAAAAGGTAAAGTCTCTATCACTTGTATTCCTTTCTCGCCAAATATCAATAAGCTCCAATTCTTCCTTCAAATCAAAGAAAGTCATAGGTAATTTAGTTTGAATAAAAGTTTTAGAGGAACTTCTTTTGTCTATAGTTGGGTCTAAAACCCCATTCCAGTCACCCATCAAAATTACCGATTTATAATCCAACTGAGATATCTTGCCATGCAGCAACTTATAAAATTGTTTCTGTTGTTGATTGGGAGCATATAGTCCAACAATAAGAACCTTTCGGCCTTGTAATAATAATTCCACAAAAAGATATCTTCCTTCAGAATCAGCCTCAATTAGTTTAGCTGAAAAAGTTTTCTTCACATAAATTACCACTCCCCCTTTTTTCCCAGGGGCTGGAGCAGTAAAATATGTGCCCAGACGGGAATTCATCAAAAATTTAGAATCCTTTAAAGTTATATGAGTCTCCTGCAAACATATCAAATCATTATTATGTTGTTTCAAATAATGAAAAATCTTTCTTCGTTTCTGGGGCACGTTTAAGCCATTAACATTCCAGGTCAGGAACCTGACCATCCCCACCGGCCTGGAGCCTCTGGAGCATGGCCTGCAGATCTGCTGTCGAAGATCTTTTTGGTCTTGCCCCTCCCACAGGCTCTGTAACAACCAAACTTTCACCACTCTTCTGCAACTGCTCTTTTTCTTTACGTTTATGGGCAGCTCGTGTCATCCTTTGCTCTTTTATGTCAGAATTCGGTGCAGCTTGTTCCATAACCATCATTGATGAGGCTCCTGCCATAAGTGACTCTTCCGTCATCCTTATTTGTGGAGGTGGTGACAATCTTGCTTTTAAGATAGACTGATAAAAATCTCTTGCTTTGGAAACAGTAGTTAATCTGTGACGTATCCCTTCATAATTTACTATTATTCCTCTTGGAATCTCCCATCTGAACTGAATTTGACGATGTTTCAACTCATCAGACAAGAAAGTAAAATCTTTTCTGGCTCTTAAAATTTTTGGAGGTATCTCTTTTAAAATTATCACGTCTTGATCAGCAATTTGAAACTTTTGTT